GAAGCTGCTGGAGGCTTATAAGATCAGTGAGGAAATACCTGTGCTCTCATCAGCTGCAGAAATGAAAGAATGGTGTCCATTTGTTTCTGAACAGACCCAGGGCAAGCCCCCTGCTGAGTGTGGTTGTCAAACCAGATTTCCTGAATGCTTCCTCCATCAGACATATTTGCATGTTTAAACAGACAGCTGACTTGAGCTGTGGAGAATTTGAGAGACTGACCTATCAATAGTGATGTTTTCCATGCTATTGTTACCAATATTTCTGATTGGTTTAGAACATTAAGTCTTGCCTGTGGGCAACAATCCCTCAGAAGAAATGGAGTAGCCTTCATAGTCAATAAAAGAGTAGGAAAAGCAGTACTGGGATACAATCTCCAAAATGACAGAATGATCTCAGTTCTAATCCAAGGCAAACCATTCAACATCACAGTAGTCCAAGTCTATGCCCCAATCACTGGCGCTGAAGAGGCTGAAGTTGACTGGTACTGTGAAGGCGTACAGCACCTGCTAGAATTAACACCCAAAAATTATGTCCTTATCATCATGGGGGATTGGAATGTTAAAGCAGGAAGCCAAAAGATAACCAGAATAACAGGCAAGTTTAGCCTTGGAGTACAAAATGGAGCAGGGCACAGGCTGATAGAATATTGTCAAGAGAACACGCTGGTCATAGCAAACACTCTTTTATTTGGGATATTTATTTATTTGGGATATTTCTAGCCCATCTAATCATTTTGCTGGATGGCTCACAGCAAAACCTATAAATATAGTGATATAAATATAAATGACATACATATCCCAAACAATAATAAACTAGATACCCCACAACTGAAATAAATAAAATTAATTGTTAAAATAAATTAAACAGATTAAAATAATTAATAATAATAATTAAAATCTATGAACATTAAAATATTGGGTGAATAAAAAGGTCTTGGCCTGGCACTGAAAAGCATATACTGACTTCACCAGGCGGACCTCTCTAGGGAGCACATTCCATAGCCAGTGCACCACCGAAAACCCAAGAGACAATGACCCATGGACATCACCAAATGGTCAGCACAGAAATCAGATTGACTATGTGCTCTGCAGCCAAAGATGGAGAAGCTCTATACAGTCCGTAAAAACACGACCAGGAGCTGACAGTGGCTCAGATCATGAGATTCTTGTTGCAAAATTCAGGCTTAAATTGAAGAAAGTAGGGAAAAGCACTAGGCCACTCAGGTATGACCTAAATCATATTCCTGATGAATATACAGTGGAGGTGACAAAGGAATTAGATCTGATAGACAGAGTGCCTGAAGAACTATAGACGGAGGTTCACAACATTGTACAGGAAGCAGCAACTAAAACCATGCCAAAGAAAAAGAAATGCAAGAAAGCAAAATGGCTGTCTGAGGAAGCTTTACAAATAGCTGAGGAAAGAAGGGAAGTGAAAGGCAAGGGAGAAAAGGAAAGATACACCCAA